AAAGTCATTTAAGTCTGAAAAATAAAAATTAGTTGCCAATATTAAAAATTTAAACTGTGTAAATAACTATATATTAAGTTCAACACTATATATTTTACAGTATCTGTGGTAAAATGAAGAAAGAAATTTCTTTCTTCAACAGCATGTGAAACATGCTGTTGAAGAGCACAAAAATTAGATAAGTGTTTTTACTAAATTTTTACTATTATTTCTCTGTTCTTCAAGAACATTGAGCACTCTATTTGTAGAATACACCAACATATATATATATATATATATATATATATATATATATATATATATATATATATATATATATATATATATATATATATATATATATATATATATATATATATATATATATATATATATATATATATACACAGAGTGTTAACCAGGAATAAATTTGATACAGCGTTTTAACGAAATTGGAAATAGTCAAAGTATTTCTCAATCACCCCCCCTCCCCTAATATTAAAATGTGTTGTGGGAAAGCATGGGGCCCTTTTTTGGTGTTCTTTTTTTTTCTACTCTACTTCAGCGCCGCATAGATTGATTAATCAGCGCCAAAAATTACTAAAATACCATCTGCATCATTAAAGATGAATATGAAATCAACACAAAATTAGCTGTTGTTTCACGACGACACGGCAAACCAAGAACCGATTTCCGAACATATATTAGGAATGATATATATTTTTTTATTATAAAATAATCAATGTATATTAATTATTATTGAGAATAATTAATTTGATTTATTCTTAACCTTTATATATTGTCGCCGCTTACATTTCAAGAGTATTATTTTGAATATATATTTCTTTTTCAATGTAATATAGTAAAATAGCAATCTCCAATGAGCAAATGATCTTCTAATTCTAATTATTGTTTAAATTCTGCTCGACGTACTTTACGGACGAACCCTTACATCATCATGTGTTATCAAAAGAAATTTTTTGAAAATAGATAAGGTTTTAAAAATAGTAAACACGAGCTCATAAATTTCATATTTCACATTTATTGCAAGTTCAATTTTATAATTAATAATAATTTATTTTATACATAAATCGCATAGCGAAATAAAGTTATAATCACAAAGTCTCAGCAAAAACAACAACAAATGTCGTTTAATTATAGAGTATTATTATTAGCAAGCAATTGCACGCCTGTCTTCGAAGAATACCAGTAAAAAAAAAAAAAACTTTAGCAAAATCAGTTAATAAAACACCAAACAAAAAAAAGAAAAACAATAACTAAAAGACTTTCCGTAATAACCGTAATTGATCAAAAGGTACCTGACATAACCTTCTTGATATTTTTGTTGACGAAATATATGTACTACTTAAAGTTGAGTTTACGGTAAGACTTAATAAGTTATTTAACTTTTCAGCCAAAAAGGGCGAAACTTTTAAAGAAATAGCATTTGCAGATGTTAAACCGAACAAGTTTGTCATTATTTTGGATCTTTTAGATTAGTACTTTATTTCTTGCTAACTTTTTTATACAATATTTGCTGTTGTTGGAATGCATTGCAAAAAATTATTTTTAAACTTTTTGCAAGTTGCCACAAAAATCACAAAAATCGCTCCAAAAATCCCAATTCTCATGAATTTTTTTTTTCCAAGAAACCAGTTTTCGCAGTTATGCAATTGCGTTTTTTTTTACCAATAATGATGATTTGATTTCATGTTTTACGCAATTAATGAATTAGAATTTTTCAATGTTATTTTTCTATTAGTTTTAAATAATAATTAATTTTAAAATTATTATTAAACTTTAATTTGGAAACTTTTTTTGGAGAATAGGATTTTTTCATCTTTAAATTGGGAATTTTAACTTTATGAGCATTTGGGAAAACCATGTTTGACGGGGCGCCACAGGGCTAGTTTACACCCTGATATATATATATATATAAATATATATATATATATATATATATATATATATATATATATATATATATGAATATATATATATATATATATATGAATATATATATATATATATATATATATATATGTATATATATATTTATATATATATATATATATATATATATATTATATATATATATATATATATATATATATATATATATATATATATATATATATATATGTATATATATATATATATATATATATATATATATATATATATATATATATATATATATATATATATATATATATATATATATATATATATATATATATATATATATATATATGCATCAAATAGAAAGGAGTATTCTCTAAAACAAAAAGAAAATGAAATATCGTATCAAAAAAATAAGCATTACCATTATAATTACCAAAACAAAAAAAAAACAATTTAAGAAGGAAATCAGAGGGGGAAGAGAGGTTACACAAACTCCAGTAAATATTACACCAATCCATATTTACTAAAGTATAGTTAAAAGTAAACAAATTGCTTTGATGAGATAATTTAAAAAGTATAATAACAAATAAGTTGTCAATACAATAACGATAAAAAAGATAGAACCATTAGAAGATTACCATCCAAGATTTATAAAATCCTCCTAACCAAACTCAAAACTAAAATGGGCTTTTTATACCAGAATTTTTCATTTTCTATATAAATTGCTTTCATTATGGCTAAGAAGTCTCACATACCCAATATAAGATCAGTTTAATATCAAGAACAGGATAAAATATATTAGAACTGAAAATATATATTAAAATATATATATAACTCTAATTAAATGTTCCCAAATATTAGACAATGTATTCATATATAACATATGTGAAATCGTGAAAATGGAAGTTCAAAAACATTGAAAAAAACTTGATAAAAATGCTCTAAAAGAGCATGAAGAGACAGATACAGTGAAAAGATGTCAAGGATAATAAGTTTTGATTAATGGAATCAGAAATGATTGTTCATTAGAGCTCATGACAGTTCTTGTAGAAAAGACAACCTTTTTATCAACCTCCAACACAATTAGGTAGGCAGATAGAGCAGGTTTAACTGAGATCACGAGTAGTATAATGGCAAGCACAAAAAAGAGAAGCAACCTTAGTGGATGGCAACTTTCAATGGATTGTATATTTGGTTTCTGTGAGAGGTCAGTTGAAAATAATAATCCAAGAAAACCTAATGAAAAAGACTTAGTAACAAGGGTCATTTATTAATATAGGAATGTCAACAGCTTTGCAATAGTTGTTTGCAGTAAATAATTGAGTTTTGTTGGAGGTTAAATTCAAATGCCTCTGAAACCCCAATCCATTAACAAAGAGTAAGATTCAAGTTTGACTGATTGTTCTAAGTAATTGAAATAAATTTCTTTTTTCAAGACATGATTATCAAGTTGAGTGGTTAGCAATTAAAGACATTGACTGAGACATGTAAAGCTTTATCAAATAAGAGTTTGAATTGAGGACAAAAGATTTAAAGGCAAAGACAACTTAAGATAATATAACAACATAAGAGCAGTATTGTCTAGCTTTTAATGTGCAACTTTTATATATGATATACATCTTTCATTGTTTGTCTCTTTTCTTTTTGGAGGAGGTTGGGGGAGGGGAGGGGAGGGGAGGGGAGGAGGAGGGGAAGGAGGGAGGGAGTGTTTAACTTACTAAAATTGATACTCTTTATACAGTAAATTTGTATTATTTCATATTATTTGTTCCAAAATAAAACTCAAAAAACTTATACTATATTCATTTTTTTGCATAGAACAGGGCATTGAAATTCTTCTTATTCTGTGTTTTTTGTACTCAGCTGTGCATCACAAAATTCTCTCCTGTTGATACATAAATTTTTTTTTCATCATTTTCTTACCTGTACTGTCTTACTTATTTCATTATTAACTACCAGTGATTTCAAAAACTATGCAAACAATGCATACTAGAATGGAATAATCAAAAAGAATAATGATAGTAATAATAACAGCAGTAAGTGATTTGGTTTTTTTTAAAATATAACAGTAATTTTTAAATCTCAGATTTATTTTATTATTTCAAATATCTAAAAAATATGTTAATATTTTTGTAAATGTATTTTTGTGATGCATTTTTCAAGTATTATCCATACAAAATATAATTCAAGTCTATTGCATAACAAATATAAGTTATATAAACAACTATTAAAACATAGGCACTATATTCTATGTATCTTATCTAACAAGTATAAGGTAAAAATAGTTAAATATAGGGACTACACTTGATGTCTATTTCTTACAACTATTGGGTACTATATTTTATATAGAATATTCTTCATACCTGTTATATATATATATATATATATATATATATATATATATATATATATATATATATATATATATATATATATATATATATATATATATATATATATATATATATATATATATATATATATATATATATATATATATATATATATATATATATATATATATAGAGGGAGAAGTGTTATTATATATATATATATATATATAGAAGTGTTATATATATATATATATATATATTATATATATATATATATATATATATATATATATATATATATATATATATATATATATATATATATATATATATATATATATATATATATATATATATATATATATATATATATATGAGAAGTGTTATATATATATATATATATATATATATATATATATATATATATATATATATATATATATATATATATATATATATATATATATATATATATATTTATATATATATATATATATTTATATATATATATATATATATTTATATATATATATATATATATTATATATATATATATATATATATATATATATATATATATATATATATATATATATATATATATATATATATATATATATATATATACAGGCTTCGGCAGGAATAAAAACCGTACGGGCTATGAAAAGCCCGTCTTAAATAGACTTGACTGGCTATGAGGGCCGCCCGTCTAGATGGTCTTGCACGGGCTTTTTTAAACTTTAAAAAAAATTCTAAAGTTTGAACTTTTTTTTTTTTAAATTTGTTAATTTCTCTTCTTCTTTTTGAATGAAAATGTCATCGAATATTAAACATTTTGTGAATTGCACTAAAATAATATGTTAGAAAGCGATTAACTGTTTAAAATGCTTAATTACTTAAGTAATTAAAACACTGCCGTAAATGAGTTGGATAATACTTAAAACTAAGATTTTATTAATTGTTTTTCAAAGTTTTCACTTGCACAGATCTAATTTCGTTTCACGTGGGTTAGTTGTTTTATGGCTGCTTTTGTTTAAATTTCTTACTCGAAGGAACTTTATTCAGTTTTTTATGTTGTTTTTTTTTAATCTTTATTCCAGATAATATCTGGCAGATATAGTCAAACGAATGAACGTGAAAACGACGGGAAAAATCCTCGAAACAACAATGGCGTTTCATCACGTTTCCTTATTCAAGCATCCTAACGTGTTTTTTTACCGAAGTCTTTTTGAGTATATTGATATATTATTGTTTTATTCAAGTATTCGATTAAATTATACAGGTTTTTATCGTGCTTTTTCAGTTCATTCGTTTCTTTTATTCTTTGTGAATAAAAATATTACATAATATTTTCAAAATCTAGTTTTTTTAATTATTCAGCAAATAGTTTGAAATCTTTTTTTTTTTAACCTTGAATCAATGAGCTCGATAGTTTTAGAATTGTTTGGTATTAGTTTGGTAATATGATACGTAACTATGTTATTTTTCAAATTCAATTATTTATATACTCTTGCATTCTATTGGGCGTGCAAATTAAAAACTTAAACTGTTATTTATATTTTTATAACTTTGCTTTACCTATGCCTATCCTTATCGGAAATAGTTATTCTGATACGTGAATAAAAAATTTGAAATCTAATTTCTTTTAATAAAATAAGTTTTTATTTAGAAGTACTAATAATTTCTTAAGATACCGGGGCTTCCGTTACTTTATATACAATATAAGCATGTATATAAGCGTATGTATGTTGCTAGCTTTAACGTTCGTAGTGCCCTCTATATAGCAATTCTTTTTTATATTTTATACAAACCATACACCATATCTTCACAACAAAAATTGTTCCATTCTCCACCTCAGTTTCTTTTCCACAGACTCCATCTTTACCCCAACTCAAAAATGTTGCTAATGTAACTCTTCTACCAGATGATGCCATTACTATCTTTACTGAAAAACTTGAATAACTTGAAAAACTTGAATGACTGGATAACTTGAATAACTTCATAACTATAAAGCAACACTATTTATATTATCTACAAAAATTGATTAGACGTTTGTTGATTTTTAATGAGATATTTCATTTTCAATAACGAGTTATATAATTGCATATTAAATAAACTGCCGTCTCTTTAAGAAAAAACGTGAAGTTAACGCGGAAGTTAACGCGGAAATATCACTTTAAATGTCTTTAAAGTAAGACAAACTAGTTTATCGGAAAAAAGCGAAATACATGGATAATTAGTTTATTATCGTTATTATTATAAACATTGAAAAACCAAAACAACATGATACTTCTTGTGCATCACATGTGTATATTTCCCTATTTAATATAATAGTAATTAAATTTTGAAAATAATATGGTAACTGTTTGGTATTATATCAAACAGTTATCGTCGTTTAAAAAATTGTAAGATTTAGTTATATTATTTTCTACATCATGTTATACAATAATGATTAAATTGTTTAATTTTTATATTTAAATATAAACAATTATAAGTTGGAGTTTGCTATCCATATTAAAATTATGTCATGAGAGAAGTTTTAAAAGAGTATCTTAATAAAAAAACATCAAAATATTCATCTTTTTTTTTACACAAAACTTATGTTTCAGACGGGCTTTAATTCGCCCGTCTAAACTGACTTAGACGGGTGCGGAGACGGACACGGGCTATAGCCCGTCATTCCTGCCGAAGCCTGTATATATATATATATATATATATAGAGGGAGAAGTGTTATTAATATAACTATTGTCTAACAAATAATGGAAGAAAGATGAAAAGTGTTAAAAATTGTTTTTATTTTAAATAATTAAAGTCTTGATTTTCACCTTGAAGACAAGCACCATTTTTATCAAAAATGTATTCCCATGGATACAACTCCCATTCACCATAAAATGGATTACACCACTCACAATCACTTTTACGTTTGGTGCATGCATTCTCCACTAAAATGTTAAGAAAATTTTACATAAAAGGTTACTGTGATTAAAATAGAACATTTAAAAAAATAAAATTTCAAAATAATCAGCTTTTTACTAAAAAATATGGTAATTTCTTTTTCTGTGAAAAAGAGAATGGAATCAAAATTTATTATGCTGAACTTTAAAAAAAATCTTCAAATGTTAAAAAAAGACCAGATAAAGTTTTTTTGAAAGTTTCTTTAAAAAAATTAGGCATTTTTTTCTTATTTTTGGCAGGAAATTTTTTTATAGTGTTGGTTATTCCTCCTTTTATTTAAATTTTATAAGTAGAAAAATTTTTTGGAAAAAATTTTCTGCTTAAATTTTTTATATGCAAAAAAATAAAGTGATTTAAAAATGTCTCGCTAGAAGGATCAACCAATTTATAAAGAAAAAATCAATAAAATAAAATTTTAACTAAAAGAAGAAAAAAGTACCATTTAATCATATAAAGATAAAAAAAGATAAATATATTTAATTAAACAGATAATAAGCTTAATATTAAGTATGCTGAATTTTAATTTAAAAAAATCATAAAACCAGCACAAAAAAGAGAGCTTTTTTAACATTTGAGTTACAAAAAACTAGGCTTTTTTTAACATTTGAGTTACAAAAAAATTGCCTATTAGACAAATTGTATAAGACACACCATATTAGACACATTATATAAAACTCTTAAAGTAATGTGTGACAATATATATTAGTTTTTAGAGAATAGTATTTATACCATAGAATCGATCTTTAATCTAAAACTAAATGTCACAAAAAAAATTTATAACAAGCAACTACATACATATTTGTTGGTTATTTTTTCAGTATGGTTTTTTTAGTTTCAGTCTAACTTGGTTATATTTAGCATATCTCGCTATTCTTTTTCTTTACTTTTAGATTCTTACTGAACAATATAAAGATATTATTATTCCACTTAAAATAATTCTCATTGTTCCTTTTTCTTTTCTTTTAGATTCTTAATGAACATTATTAAGATATTATTTTTCCTTTAAACCTTTAAACTTTACTAACTTTTTAATTCTCACTAATATTTTGTATTTTAGATTTTCACTCAACTATCTTTTCTGCAGTTTATTCTAAGTATGACGCCTCCCATTTCTACCTGAATGGATGGCTCTGTTGGTCACCTGTATGCATTGTGTCACAAAAACATAGATATTTTTCAAAGTTTAATTACATATATTTTAGTCATTTTTCTTCATAAAAAGGCCAATCTTTCAAGCAAGACATTTATAAATAAATTTATTTTTCTGCAGATTGGAAAAGTAAACTAAACCAATGCCACCCCCTGTTTTTGAAATTGAAATAAAAATTCAATGCACCTTAACAAATATTTCAGATAATAAACAGAAACTAATTACCTGACTTCATCATACATAACTGTGCTGCTTTCAATGCCGAAGGAAATAATACTTCGTTATGCATTTGAAAACAGAATATGTTATTTTCAAGGACGATCTCCATGCTTGAATTTTGTGGAAATTGAACTTCATCAAAAACACTTCCCTATTATTTTAAATAAAATAAGGATTAATAACAAAAAATAATGAAACTATATTAAAACCACATAAACAACTTTAAATACTAAAACTAATTTATAAATATTTTTCTTATAAATACATCAACTGATTCTAAACAGCTAAAGTTAATTAACTTCAACAGTTTAGATTATTTTACCATATAAATGTTAAAATTTATTCATTTTAATATAGAAGTAAAACATTTTTAGTTTTTTATTAAATTAAAATAAAAGAAAATGAACTAAAAACAAAAAATCTTAATTTACTGTATTAAAATCAACATCAAATGAAAGCTTTAAAAACTTTCGCTCATATTTGACCACCACATAATGCCATTGTACTGATGAGTCAATGTTAATAACTTTTTGTACGCTATCAAATATCAATCTAAGAAGAAGAAAAGCTTTTTTAAAAAAGAAAAAAGATATTATTTTTAAATATAAAGCAAGCAATTGATAAGAAGACAACACTTGCAAAAAAATATTGAAATCTAGGTATTTAAATTGTTTGAGCTTGTTTAATGAAATAAACATTGTTTACATAAGTGCTGAGGCTTGAGAATTAACAACTACAATTTTTTCATATGTAAAACGCAACACTTGAAATGAATTGCTTTGATACCAAAATACGAATGAAAAGTCTTTACTTAAATCTACTTCAACAAAAGAAAGTGTTTTTTTATAAACTTGCTCATTGTGTCCGTCAATAAATTGTAGAAGATTAGTGTTAGAACCACGAGATACCACTGCATTAGAAATATTTATGAAAAGTTCACTTGATCCTCTGATAAAGATTTTAGGATTAGGAAATAAAAAAGAACCATTTGATAGCATGTAACTATTTCCCATATCTAAAGAAAAACATAACAGTTTCTAATTGTGTAACTTTGTAAATAAGAAACTGTCATTGATATCATTATTGCTTTTGATGTTATTGATGTTATGATTGTTATTAATATTATCAATTTTATTGATGTTATTATTATTGTTGCTGATGTTATTGTTGTTATTGATGCCATTACTGTTATTATTGCTATAGCTGTTATTATTATGATTGATGTTATTGATGCTATTTTGTTAGTGATGATATTATTTAGTAACATCAAAAATATAATTTAGTTGCAAAAATGTATTGTAAATATTACATAATATAAAAAAGAGATTTTAAGACTATAAATCATTATAAACATTAATCATCATTAGAAAGATAACTTACATGTTTTTTAACTGTTGAATAAGATAGACATCTTATTTTATGAACAAACATAGAATAGTAACACATATGCTAATAATTACCAAATGTCAATTATTACTAGTAAACTATATTTTTAAAGTGATTATAAATTACAAATAATAATTCCACATTATTTAATAAAGGTTTGGTTAATATTTTTAAATACCATCGTTTTTGTAAGCTCATGAAAGTTGGAAATTGTATTAACATGTCAATATACTTACTACATCATGAAAAAAGCAGAAAAATTTTGTTTATTGTAAACATCTTAAAACAATTTTAATCAACTTTTTAACATAAATATTATTTAGGTAGCACTGTATGAAAAAAACAAAAGTAAGTAATTAAAAAAAAATCTCATATCTAGCAATCATTCATTACTTTACTGTGGCTCTGTCATCATCTCTGAGGCTCACCATCATCATCATTATCATATCATCATATCATTGTATCATCATCATCATCATCATCATCATCATCATCATCATCATCATCATCATCATCATCATCATCATCATCATCATCATCATCATCATCATCATCATCATCATCATCATCATCATCATAATCTCCAAGGCTACTGTCACCAGACCAAAAAAATTTGTAGTTTTTCTTAATCTAAGTTATTTTTTTAAAAAACATGTTTTTTCAACTAAAAACTAAAAAAAGACTAAGAACTAAAAAAAAACAATGTTTGTAAAAAAAAAATTTTTTTAATAATAATATTCAACTAATATAAAGCAATTAAACTTCTATATAATTTTTATATATTCTATACTATATATTATGTAAGTTTTCCTTATAAAAGTTTTGCGAACTTTTAAAACAGTAAAACTTATTTAAAAAAATTGGAAGTACCTGCAGGCTCTTTTATAGTCAACTCATCACAACTAGATAAAAATTGAATCGTACCAAATGCAATGTAGCCACTTCCAAGACCATTTTTTAAAGCTACAAATTTGACCTAAATTTTTTTTGAATTTTACAAATATTCAAATTCTTTAGTTCACTGTGACATTAACTACAGCAACAGTAACACAGCAACAGTAACAACAATAATAACCCCATTAACTACAGTTACAGTAACAGAACTAGTAAAATAAATTCAATACATTAAAAAAAGTTTAATAGATTACCAAACAGAATTTTTCAGAATTTTTACTTAAATCTACATAAGAATTGACCCATTTATTAAGACCTTCTCTTCTGTAAAAAAAAGCTAACTCTTTTGTAATACTTCCAGTGTAACCTAACACATTGAGGCTTACAAATCCTTCCCCACCAAACTTAAACTTATATGACAAACATGTTCCAGTAACATCAAGTGAAATAAAAGCAAGTAAATCTTGTGAGTTTTCTTGAACAGCACTTGCATGTATAAAACCCCCTGATAAAGAAAAAATGAAGTAAATATATTTAACCAATAATCAAATTACTATAATTACAATAACTTTATAAATAATTATAACCAATAATGTAAATAATCTATTTAATATATAATATGTCGTAATAAGCCAAATATTCAATATAAAAACATTTTTCTATTTTAAATACAAACACTATTACTTTGAATATTTTAAAAAGAATTTATAAAAAATACTTCTTATATAGCTTTTAGAAAAAAAAACTTCAAACTCAAATTTTTTCCAATCTACATAATTTATCCTTAACATAATGTTGCAGATAGAAATGTTCCTAATAAAATTTGCTGTTTTTTATTAAATAAAATTAATAATAATTTAAGGGGAAAAAACTTTTTAATGTACCTGGCAGTGGCAATTCATAATCAATTTTCATAACACATCCTGGATTTAAAAAAGTATCGGTAATCTTCACTACAATTGTAAATGGTATTGTGTAAAAAACTGTTTTGAGAAGATCACTTAATAACAATGAAAGATCTGGAGTATCAATGCTTTCTGCACTTGTTGAATTGCACCATTGAGTGTGGGCGGAAAAATTAGGATCATTTAAAAATTGCATAGTCAAATTAAAACATGAATTGTTATTAGGTAAAAACAAATTGCCCTGTATATGGACATATAAAAGTTTTATGTTTTGAAAATCCAGAACAATATTATCAAAGTATATAGTAGAATAGTTTGCAAAATAATCAGGGCTTTCCATAAAAAAATTTTCATCAAAAAAATCATCTTCGGCAACATCTTTAATGATAGAGAATCTACTACTGTATTCCACACTGCTATTTTTATCTAAAAATTAGTTAACTAATCAATTTTTAAATAAATCAAAAAATATTTTTATTACTTTGTATTATTATTATGTTATTTTAATTTATTGGTATTATTACAAAGTTATTTAATTATTTTGTATTACTTCAAATCTATTTTTAAATTTGGAAGCTATACTTTGCTGTAAATTTAAAGAAAATTTATTTTTTATTTAGGTGCAACTTACCTGAAGTTTCACATGGGCATAAAACATTTTCACAGTAACAATCTGAACCAAAGTTAAATCCTGAGGGTGGATATGCATCCAAGGAGTTCCAGTCTATCAAAACAAAACAAAAATCAATTGATATTACTTTTCTCTGTTAAAATAACAAGTAAAATTAATGTTACACAAATGATCAAAACTGATTCAATGAAAATGAAAAAAAAATTCAACAATTCTTCGTGTTATACAACGCATTTAACCACCAATTATTTCCTCAAAAGTAATATTTCAATAATGCCTTCGCCAGCATGATCACCTGATTTAAATCCAATCAAAAATTTACAAAAATTTAATTAAAAAAAAAACAAAAAACATAGGCTCTGCATTGAGTATTCTCTATTTATCAGTCTAAACGTTTCTTTTTTTTTTTCTCTACAATGACTTATCTGGCTTACCAATAAGGGATTGTCCATAAAGTATGTACACCAAAAATTTAGAAACTTGACCACCCTTTTCCCCTGTTGCCATGCGTACCCCCCCCCACCTCCTTTTTCTTTTTTTTCAAACAATTAAAAAAATTTTATGAAAAAATTGTATAAATTAAGAAATATTTTTTTACTTAAAATGTGCGTCTTTTAAAGTTGATCATATCCCCTCCCCCCCATCCATCCATTTATTGAATGCAAATTTCTCCTTCCCCTAATCTACCTAAAATATTTAAACGACCCCAAAGCCCTTAGTTTTGGCATTGGATCCCAACTTTAAAGGTACATGTAAAAAATATTTATTTTAATAAAATTAATTTACATGGTGAATTGTGTGTGTGTACAGCCCAGAGGCTAATGTGAGCAACTACGGGGTAAAGACCTGAGGTCATATTGCAGTCAAATCATAGTTTAGTTTTTATTTAAAAAAAATTGTTTTAATAACAAATCAAATAAAAATAAACTTTGCTTTGGGCAACCATTTTTTTTAAGCACCTTTCTTTAGTAAATCTGTAAAAAATGAGTCTTATGCAAAATGAGTAATATTGAAAACAAATTCTGAAAACAAAGCCAGGACTACCTTAGCGTACATACTTTATTGACAACCCTAAGTGTAATTTTTTATTTTAAAAAAGGAAAAATGTTGCCTTCTCAGATATTAAAAATGAGACACAATATCAATGATTTTCAATAATTTAAATAGTTCAGTTACTTTTTGTACAGTTCAAAGGTGCTGCAAAATGAAAAAGAATAAATTCAGCCGGCACAACTCAAAAAAAAGCTACGTTTGGTTTCTGTTGCGTATTTAAAACCTTCTAAAACAAAAAGAATAACATGTGCCAAGAATGGTTTTCATACCATGAAAAAAGAAAAAAGACTTAGTTTGTGAAACAATATTAGCTAGGTTTTACATCTAGTGCTAGTATGCATTTGATACCTTTCTTTTTACATATACTTTGTTATGCCTTGTAAAGGTATAAGAAAGTAATTTACTTTGTAACTTACTTTTTAAATACTTACTTTAATACTTTATAAGCTTAAAAAACAAATTGAAAAAACTGTAAATAGGGATGGCAATCCCGGGATCCCGAAATCCCAGGATTTTGAACAAATAGTTCATCCTGAAATCTTGGGATTAGTCTCCAAAATTCTCCAAAATGTATATATATGTATATATATATATATATATATATATACAGTAAGCAAAATAATTGTCCGTACATTAATGAAAAATAAGGTTTTTTGAAAAAAGCTCTAAAACTTTAAATGATAGAAAAAATAAATTAAACCAATAGATAGCGCACAAGAAAACAAATAAAAACGATACACCATCTTTAATTTTCTCCTGACAATTTAAATTATAATTAACTCATTTAAAAGTTTTAAAAATTTTAAAACCAAAAAATTGTCCGTACATTCGATTTAAAAGGTAAGATTTTGTTTATAAATGATTTTTATATTAACATCTTTTACTTTTAGGTTAAATAATACTATAATAAATAAAAATAAACCATTTCCTAACTACGTGGCTATGATGGAAAGAAAAAGAAAAGAATATAGTATTGACTTACATAAACAAGTAATTTTAATAGGGAAAATGGATTATCAATTAGAAAAGTTGCAAAAATGTTGAAAATACCACAAAGCTCTGTTCAATATATATGGGAAAAGTATGTAAAAACAAAATCAGTGGCAAATAATGGTGTACGAGGCAGAAAAAGATCAACAACGCCAAGAATTGACAGGTGCATAGTTGGGAAAATCGAGCAGAATAGAAGATAAAATGCCGTAGAAGTATGAAAAGAGCTGGAAAATGAATTAAATATTAATTTATCGCCACAAACAATTAGGAACAGACTGCATGAAGCCAATATTTTTGCACGGACGCCTCGGAGAAAACCATTCATCAGCATAGTGAACAAGAGAAAACGGTTGCAGTGGGCAAAGGAACATATTCTGAAGGATGATACATTCTGGAATATGACTATTTGGTCAGACAAGAATAAATTTAATTTATATGGAGCTGATGGTGGTGCAAAAGTTTATAGAAGAGTCGGAGAAGAATATAATGTGAAGTGTTTGAAGGCAACATTTAAATTTGGTGGTGGAAATGCTATGGTTTGGGGCTGCATGAGTGCGTCCGGTGTTGGCAAAATTGAATTTTTATGATGAGAAAATGGATTAACACTTATATAGATCCATATTAGATTGGAAAATTAGGACTTGGAACGGAATTTATATTCCAACATGACAACGATCCAAAGCACAAAGCTGGATCTGTAACCAGATATCTTGCTGCAAATGGCATTAACGTGTTGGATTGGGTTGCACAACCACCCGATTTAAACCCTATAGAACATTTATGGTCGGTGGTCGAAAAAAGAATGAAAGGTCGAGCTGCAAAGAATAAAAACGAGCTCAAAGAATTGGTTTTAGATATTTGGTCATCAATTAATTAAGAAATTACGTCTAAACTCATCTCATCAATGAAAAATCGTTGTAGAGCAGTTATTAAAGCTGATGGTGGTCCAACAAGATATTATTTTAATTTTAACTAATTTTAATTTAAAAATTAACATAGTGTACGGACAATTTTTTTGTTTAAACTTTTAACTCTTTTCTAAATAAACTTATATAACTTTTCATATAATAATATATTTTTAACTAATACACTTAAAATTACTTTAATATTATAATATTTCTTTAAAAACTATATATATACATATATACCTTGTTCCTTACACCAGCAAGCCCTTATATTTTTGTTATTTTCTATAATATATTAGTTTTGATATTATACTATATATAATATATAGTATAATTTTAAAACTAGCATATTATAAAAATAAATAAAATTCAAGCGCTTGCTGGTAAAAAGAGCAAGAGTTTTAATAAAAGGTATATATTAATTTAATTTTGAATTTTCTGCTTCCAAAAGTATGCGCGATTTTAATTCCATTTTTATATCCATTCATTTTAATTTTCAAATGTGTGATTTATGAAAATGCGTGATTTACGAAAGTTTTTTTTTAACGTCATGCATATTTATATTATTTTTTAACTTTTACTTTTATTTATACTGTGTTACCATTTTAAGGTATTGTTTTATAATTTATAATACTTAGGTTTATTAATTTTTAAAAGTCTTAGATAAGTTTTAATACAAAATTAAGTTAAAATATGATTCAACTTAATTTCAAAGGTTCATTAATGTATTAAATATTTTAGTTATATTATCATTAAATTAATTATTTTTAAGTGTTTGATGAGTGCTTAAAAAGTTCAATTGCGTTTGGGATCGTCCATAAATACGCAACGCAAAAATTTCCGGGATTTTTGCCATCCCTAACCGTAAATGAAAAAACATTTTTACTTATAAATAAAAAGTACCATAATAAGATTGTTCATATAGCTGCAATACTTCCTCTGATGAAAATGATGCACTCCAAATTTTGATGCTGGAAAGACTTCCACGTAGATCAGATTGATTATTGTAGTAATCAGAATACATAAGCAAGTATTGATTCAAAAAACGATGATAAGTTGAATTAATGTTTGTTTCTAAAATACTATCATTAGCAATTAAAGTTCCATTAAGAAATAGTTGTATACTATTGTTTTGTTTAGACCAAACCATTGTCAAAGTGTAAGGTGTCATAGTTGGATTCTTTAAATCAGTTTCATAGATGTAATCTTTTGTAGCAACTGTAGCAACTATATTGTTGCTACTACTTAAATGAATATGAAATCCATAACCATCTATCTTTGAAGAATATCCACTCAGTCCAGCTGACACTAAAGAAGATGAGCAAAGTGCATCTGAAAAAAGAATTACAAAATTTTAAACTTTATTGGTCATTAAATTAGTATTTGTATTTATAAAAATATTTTTTTATATGTTTTCATTTATTTAAAAACAACATTATAAAGCAATTCCGAGATAGATAGATAACATATAGACGAATTGAGCTTACTCCCACAATTCCTTTCAACTTTTTTTCATAAAATAAGTTCTATTATAAAATATGTATATGTACATACATACATACATACATACATACATACAGACATACATACATACATACATACATACATACATACATACATACATACATACATACATACATACATATATATACATACATAATATGTATGTATATATGAATGTATGTACATATTATACTATGTATATATGTATATTAAAGCAACTTTAAATTGATTTCTAAATGCATGAAAATAAGCTTCTCCTAAAAAACTATAAAAACAAGTGAGCTCAAATAATATTTACATTAAAATCCCCCTAAAAAAAAGCATAAGTAATCAATTCTAAAGAATTTTTTTTATAATAATGTCACTATTCCACGAATGGGTAAAAATTTACTGTAGTTAAGACATTTACGAATTCCTTTAATTAAATTTTTGGTATAAATTGAAGTTTATTTAACTTGATCATTTATTTATGATGAGTCTTAAATGATGAAACACAGTGTTAATTACTAATTTTACTACTAATATATATATATATACTACTAATATATATATATATATATACTACTAATATATATATATATATACTACTAATATATATATATATATATATATACTACTAATATATATATATATATATATATATATATACTACTAATATATATATATATATATATACTACTAATATATATATATATATATATATATATATATATATATATATATATATATATATATATATATATATATATATATATATATATACATATATATGTACATTTGAAAAGATTGCTGCCTAATGCCAAACCCTCAGTGGATGTAGCAGCACTCCGCTGCGAATCAGGCTATTTGACTCGCAGTCTAAATATCAGAGTGTATTGGTCTTTACTTTAAGAACACTGAGAACTCTAAATGTAGAACACATATAAATTTATTTGTTAAATCTCTCTCTCTCTCTCTCTCTTTATATATATATATATATATATATATATATATATATATATATATATATATATATATATATATATATATATATATATATATATATATATATATATATATATATATATATATATATATATATATATATATATATATATATATATATATATATATATATATTTTATTTTTGTTATTTGGTCAATTTTTTGGTTAAGATTTTCTAAAGAAAATTATTTATAACAATTTCCAACTTTTTGTAAAATATTGTTTCTTTAATTTGAATTTTTTGATATTTAGATATTCTTCCCGACAAACCTACAGAGTGAGAAACAGTCTGTTGAGGAAAATATAAGAGTGTTTTGGTCTTTACTTTAAGAACACTGAGAACTCTAAATGTAGAACACACTAACATAATATACATACATGTATATATATGTATATGTATATACATATACATTATATATATATTTATATATATATATATATATATATATATATATATATATATATATATATATATATATATATATATATATATATATATATATATATATATATATATATATATATATATATAAATTAAAAGGTTTTCAAGTTTACAATTAGATTTTGAACAAATAATGATCATCTAATTAGTATTTTTAGATTAGTATACAAATCAACGGTTTTTAATAAGTTCAAAAATTTGCAGACGAAGCATAATTTTTTTAAATAGTATAAATATTTCAACAATATTTGATCAAAATTTATACAAAAGCTAAATCATATTAGTATTTTGTAGGATATCCTTTACAATTAAGAATAGCTTGGCATCTATGAGGTATAGAGTCAACTAAATTAATGCAAACGTCAATAGGAATTAAGCCCCATATTTCTTTGATTTTATTAACCCTTTCATACTCGGGCACATAGAATGTGTTTAAAAATTTTTTTATTTTATTAAAACAAATGTACTAGAACTCCTTATGGGGTATGTAAAATTTTATTAAAATATTAATTTTATTAAAATATAAAAGATGACTGGTGTGCACATGTACACATAATGTTTCAGTTATTGTTTTGCTTAAGTTTTATTGTGAAAAATGAACAAAATGAATTGTGTATGTTTGTAAACATGGTGAACAAAGGGGTTAAATAAATCAGCATAATTTGTAGGCTTGATTCCTTTCATTTGACCGTCAACATGTTCTAATAGATGTTTAATGGGATTTAAATCAGGTGATTGGGATGGCCGCTTCAAAACATTAACTTTACTCTCTTTGAAAAACTCTAAAACCAATTTGGCTGTATGTTTGGGATTGCTATCCTGTTGGTATATCCATCCTCGAGGCATTTTATCCTTTGCATATGGTAACATAATAGTCTTTCATATATCTTTGTACTTTTCTTGATTCATAGTCTCGGTAATTCTATGGAGAGAACCAACTCCATTTCAGCTAAAACATCCTCAAACCATTACATTACCTCCTCCATGTTTTACGGTTGGCAGTTGGTATTTAGGATCGTACCTTGTACCTACTGGATGTTGAACATACCTGATTCCATCAGATTCGAACAGCATAAACTTTCTTTCATCACTAAAAAGAATTTTTGACCATTTTGGACTACTCCACTTTACATGTTCTGATGCAAAATCCTTTCGCGTGTTATGGTTTTTCAAGGAAACTAATGGTTTTTCAGCTGGGCGTCTTCCAAATAAATTAGCATGACGTAAACAACATTTTATAGTAGAAATACAAAAATTCATTCCATAGAGACATCTCATTTGTATGTTTAAATCGAAAGCTGTCAAATGGAGATTTTCTTTGCTTAGTATTACAAACTTTTTATCCTGATAACGCGTTGTTTTGCGTGGCTTTCCTGATTGATTTTTATTCTTTGTAGATCTAGTAAGCTCATATCTATTTATAATTTGTCCAACAGCAGACTTACTAACTCCATAAAGCTGTGCTGTTTTATGAAACGAGTTTCCATTTTGAACTGATCTCAAGATCAATTTTTTCACTGGAGATGAAATACATTTCTTAGATCCCATGATCTCAATCACTTATATATAAAGTTTTTAAATTATTTCCAGAAAGTATTTGTTTATAAAATCAACAAATCAGCTATTTTGTGGTGAAAATGTTAAAAGCTTTAGTTTGTCCGCAAATTTTTGAACTTATCAAAAATTGTTATTCTGTAAACCACGTTTTTGGTTTACAAAATAACAATTTTTGAATGACATTTTAATTTGAAACTTTGATTTGAAAGTAACTAAAATGTCATTGTTTTTATTTACTTTATGAAAAGGTTCATCCAGCATTACTCTTGATTACATACTGGTTTTCATATATTAGTAAAAAAGTATATTTTTTAAAACTATATCAACTTGGGTTTCAAACAAATCAAAATTATAGAGATTTCTCAAAGAATAATGGTTAAAAATAAACATAAAAATTTGTAATTTGATATACAAAAAAAATCAATAATAAAAACTTTCAAGGTCATTTTTATGACATTTTATTGCAATACATTTTAATATAAATTTTCATTTAAAAGATTATAAACTTGAAAAAAATTTTTTACAACTCATAATTGTTATAGATACATGTGCAGACAACACACTAAATAATCATGTGTTAGACAACTTAAGTTTAACCAACAAACTACTTAAATTAAATCAACAAACAGCTTAAGTTAAATCATTCAAAGTTCCATTGAAAGACCTTTGAACGCAAAAGAAAAATTAAAATCTTTTTTCATTAGCGCAATTAACTACTAAAACCTAAACAATTTATCTTCTACTGCCCGAACTCTGTTTATTCTCTCATTAAAAACATAATTATAAATACATAATAATATTATTGTTAAACATTATTTTATAAATACATAGTTTACAAAGATAATTTTTTACAAGTGGTATGTAGCTAGTTTTAAATGTTTAAATAAAATTCTTATTAAGTTAAATTTACTTCTAAAATAAATTACCTTTGCTCCCATAAAACTCCAAATTTATAACTCCCAAATCTATAGAGCTGGATGTTATATAAAAAAGTTTTGTTTGAAGAACTCCTTTAAATGTAACATACTGAATTTCACCACTATTCAAATAATACTAAAGTAAATAAAAATCCTTAATTATAACAAGAATTATTTTTCAATTTAATAAATTACACAAAAATTGATTTTTTTTTGTTGCAACAAACCGTATTAGCCAAATGAATAACACAAAAATATAACAACTATAAGGTATAATAAAATCCTTTATTGTAAGAGGCACGCCTTATATGACCACGCATATAGTTCTTTGTTTTAACAACTTGACCACGGCTCATTGCAAGTTTTGATAATTAGCGCATTTAAAAATTGCGCTAAAAAAAAACAAAGCAAATTAAAATAAACAATCCATAAACTGAAAAGAGAATAAAATCCTTAAAATAATATATATAACAAAAACTAACCTAAAAAAGTAAAATATTTTGAATGATAAAATAAATAAAGGAAAAACCAGAAAAAAAATCAAAACACGTATTAATTAATTTAAACTTAATTGGAAGCAAAAGTGTAAAAATCACAGCTCTAATAATCTTTATCATTCCTTCCCATGAATAAATAGGCTAATACAAGGGTGGATCCATAGTGAGGGAAAGGGTAATGAAATTTAATAAAATTTTGTGGTGCAAATTTAAAATTTCATTAAAAAGTTAATAGGATACAGGGTGCAACAACGCGCATTTTTTAAAGACAGACAGAAAAACAAACATCACGTTTCTTTAATTTTGCTTATGCAAACGTTGCCGTTTGATTAAGATTTTTTAAAACAAACACGTTACTTCAGCAATTTTTTCAAAATAATTTTGCGATCAATAGATTTTTTTTTATTACAAAAAACATATATTTAAAATGAAAAAAAATTGATTGCAGAGACTTTTTTAAAAAAATGCCAAAACTTATTTCAGTTGCGTCACTTTTAAGTAAAATAAAAAAAAAAAGTAGTAATGTTTTAGCATGGTTTTTGCATGCGCTCACAAAAATATAATAATTTTACTTAAAATAGATACTTTTGCAAAAACTTCAAAAGAAACCGTCCTTAAACAATTTGATTGCCTTCTTTTATTGAAGAAAGCGATCGTAATGATAAAGCTTGGTTTCTTTTCTGCTTTTAGCAATTACATTAAAAGTTTAAAGGAAATGATTTCATTATAAATAAAATTGTGCATGCCTTTTTTTTTAATTTTCTTATTTTCCATAAACTGAAATAATGTTTGTTTGCATATTAAAAACACTTTTAAAAGTTTTTTTTATTGTTAATTTGTATATTTGTATAATTAATTTGCGCGCGCTTTGCAAATGTGTAAAAAAAAGTTTTTGAAAAATAACAATTTAATAAACTTACCAAGCATCTTTGATATATTTGATAACTTATTAACTAGAATCAAAGTTATTTGAAATTTGTTTGACATAAATCACTTGAATTAGACATTCGTCAATAAATAAAGATACGCAAGTCAACATTCATTAAAAAAAAACTGTACGTCAAGCCCTAGGATAAAAAATAGTTGGCAAATGCGACTATTTCTAGATTATCATAATTCTTTTTTTTTAGTAAATAATTTTTTTATTAGAAGTTATAGTTCCATGATAAAAAGGTTTGTAATTATTTTTTGATACCTTCTGTATTCATTTTGCCTTGAACTCTAATCTGAATATTTTTTTCAACGATTGCTTTTATTAAGTTGCATTAAAGTACTCAGGAAATTTTGTGGCAGTTTAATTGTAATTATGGAATCAATTAAATTAAAAATTGCATTTACATTTGCTTTGTTTTCTTTTAGCTCATTTTTTAAACGCGCTAATTATCAAAACTTGCAAAGAGCCGTTGTCAAGTTGTTAAAACAAAGAAATATATGCGTGGTCATATAAAGCGTCCGATCGCACGACTCTTAAGAGAAGGCTTGAATAATCAAAAGCAAGTGTGAAAAGTAATAAAAAGTAATTGTGAAAGGTAATAAAAAGTTATCGTGAAAGGTAATAAAAAGTAATTATGAAAAAAAGCATAAATGTAATTGTGAAAAGTAATAAAAGTAATTGTGAAAAGTAATGAAAAGTAATTGTTTGAAAAGTAATGAAAAGAAATTGTAAAAACTAATAAAAAGTAATTGTGAAAAGTAATGAAAAGTAGTTGTAATAAAAAATGAAAAGTAATTGGGAAAAGTAATGAAAATTAAGTGTAAAAATTAATGAAATGTATATGTGAAAAGTAATAAAAAGTAATTGTGTGAAAAGTAATGAAAAGCAATTATGAAAAGTAATGAAAAGTAATTGTGAAATGTAATAAAAAGTAATTGGGAAAAGGAATAAAAACCTTAAAATTACACTGTTATAATGCAGTATGTCTGCTATAAGTAGATTATATTCTAAAGATAGTAAAATATAATGTCAATCCAAGAAGTACAAAGCAATATTTTTCTAGGAAAAGGTAAAGTTCTATATTAAAAAATTATATAGAAATAAAAAAAAAATGTATACTTTATTTTAAAAGTTATAATTTATCTGTTTACATAAATAGTTAAATAAAAAGTTCATCACAGTTACAATTATTGGCAATCAACACACAAAGTTAGTATCACAGTTAGTAGTAGTTTTGGAGTCTTGAAGTAGTGTCCTAAAGTTAAGTCTTAAATTAGTGTCTTAAAGTTAAGTCTTAAAGAAATTCTTTAAGTCAAGTCTTCAAGTAGTGTCTTGAGGAGTTGAAATAGTATTTGAAGTAGTAATAAAATAAAAACATAAGGAACAAAAATCAACAAAAATCAATAAAACCTGATCAACAAAAATCAATAAAACCTGATCAACAAAAATCAATAAAACCTGATCAATAAAAGTGTAATACGATGCATCAAAATAGTCAGAGTTCTCTGTGTTGAGAGTAACTGATATTGCTAATGTAGATTTTGACCCAATTTGCATTGTTGTTATGTAGTAAACTTGAGAAAATATAATCTTTTTATATCCAGGAACAGTATTGTATATACCATTCCCAATATATTGAACCGACTGAGGAACATTTATAATATTCAAAGGCATCAGCAGTTCAATGTTTCCAACAACTATATAAAAATTGTTTTATAATTTTATAAAACAATATATATAAAAAAAATTAAATAGTGGAGTTGTTAACTTGCACATAAAATTGTATTAAAATTTATAAATAGATACAGCTATAATTAAAATAATTTTGTGAAAAGAAAAAAAAAACTTTACTAAAAAAAAAAACTTATTATAATAAAATTTTTTAGTAAAGTATATAAATATAGTATCATAAATTAAAGAAAAGAAATTGGTTGAATAAAAGTTTTTACCTTTATTTTTATATGAAATAGCCAACTCTATATTTATTCTGTTTACCTTAACCAATATATTATTAGTGCATAAATTGTTTGCTATTATAACAATACCAATATCTCTCACTAAACCATAATATTTTAGTCTAACTTTTTCTAAAACATCCTTTAAATTTAATGAATTAGAAACTGCACCATTTGTTGATCCATTAACAAGCATTGTGATATAATCAGATGTTATGAGTTTATTAATAACTGAGGCATATGACATATATTTAAGAGAAAGAAATGAATTTCGAAATGTATCACTTTGTGAAACCAAAACATATACTCTGGCAACAAACCCAATTGTTTCAATATTATTTAAGTTAAAACTAAAGCCTGTAACTTCAGCATTTGAGGGTAACATAATATCAGCAAATAAAAACGAAGATACAATATTAATTATATTGTTTCCATTTCCTTGTCCATTATTTTCCTGAGAAATACATCCAAAATATAAAATTTGTGGTTCATCTACTAAACTGTTTGCCACATAAAAAGCAAAAGAAGGACGAAATTTGAAAACAACATCTTCTGAAGTAAGATTAGCTATAAAAGTCAATATAAAATTTATATATATATATATATATATATATATATATATATATATATATATATATATATATATATATATATATATATATATATATATATCCACTATATGTAGTCTTCGCAAATGGCAAACGCGTTTTTGTAACAGAAAAAAAGAAAAGCAAAAGAAAAAGATTTAAGTAAACTAAATTTAGAAATAATATTTTCTTTTAAAGTTATATAATTAACAATCAATAATTTGAAAAACTAATTTGAAGTTAATAAAAAAAAAAAAAAAAAGAAATAAAAATAATAATAAACAAAGGGAAAGGAAAGATAAATCAATTGAAAAAAAAAAAAAAACAAATTTCAAACTAACTTTAAAAATAAGGAAAAAAACGACAAAAAAAAAAAAAAAAAAAAGTGAACGTAACGAAGACATAGTTAACTATTTTTGAAGAAAGAAAAGGATAAATAAAGATTGGTTTTTGTACTTATTTTTGTTTTTTGTTTTTGTTTACTGTTTTACACCTATATTTGTAATTATAATTTTTTATTATTATTATTTAATGTAACTAATATATTATTAATATTACTATAATAATAATTATCATTTTTAGCATTATCATATCATCATTTTAATAACTTATTTATCGCTAATTAGTTCATTTTATTTATAGTTAATTTATAATATTTTTTTGTTTATGCGACAAAATGATCGCAAAAAGTGACCAACGGAGCCGTCCAGTTACGTAGACCTGGGAGATGTGAAAATAAAAACAGATTGAAGATGATGTCATATAGGTAAAAAAACATAAATTAATGCAAAGACTATTTAGTTGGAAGAGTAAAAGTAAGCAACTCAGGAAAAGGGGAATAAAAACTCACACTCTAGTCATCTTTAAACAAATGATGAAATAATGATCTATGAGTAAACAAGTCAATAAAAATCCGCTGGTTTATAATGGTATTAATAACTAAAATAATCGCACCATACAAATGCCTAATAAATGTGGTACTATATATGTTCTAAACTCTAGATAAAAAATTGATAATTGATAATCACCTGTGTAACATAAAAAATATATAAAGGTCGTGAATGTAACAAATTCATAATAAAAAGCTCATTAAGCGCAAAAATACATGGGTTAAAGAGGTAAAAAAATGTTGGTGCCATAATAACCAATTAGAATTAAGTAGTGGATAAATGGTGATCCCCCTCCTCAGGAATGCACTGCGATCACCAATGACGTTTCGGAGAGCCCGAGGCCTGCACTAACGCCACTCGTCAGGGGCGTGTCCTTGCAACAGATCTCACCGCCTGCACTATAATATATATATAATATAGAGCTATAACTATAATAATTAATATTATTCTTTCGTTTAATATTTGTTCAGCTGTTTTATCTCTTATTATTTCATTTATTATATATATATATATATATTTACATTTTGTATTTATATTACTTATCATTAGAATTCCTATTATAAATTTATGAGTAATATATAATCTTTATTATTTATATATATCTTTATCATATTATCTATAATACTTTATTGTATATTTATTTATTACTACGTAACTCATATAATTTAATTAAACACACAATTATATAACACTATTATATATATATTTTTGTATCTATTACTGTGTACTACTTTATCATTATTGTTAGTTAATATACTTTTTACTTGCTGCTTTGATAATATATTTATATTTATCTTGCTATATTTATCTCTGATAATTATAGTTGTAATTTTGTTAACTATTACAGTTTACTTTCGCATTCATTTACTTTTAAATTGTTTTGATTGTCTTTTAAGAATTTATTTTTAATATTTTCTATATTTATATTTAATCTACGTTAAACTTAAAAAATCATGACAATCACTATTGCAAGAGTTGTAACAAAAAAATAACAAATTTAATCCAACAACAAAATGCAAAAACCTTGACATAGATGAACTAAATAACTCTATCAATTCTTATACAGAAATTTACCTCCTTTATTTATCTTAACATTGCCTCTCTTTCATTTCACATCAATGATCTCTCCAGTCTTAATAGTACTGTTATTACTTCTCCCATGGTGATAGGAATTACTGAGTTCAATTTATATGTAGAAGACTTAAATATAACCAACATACAGGGATTTAACATTGAAAATTGAACTTACAAAGATTAAACATTGAACATTGTCCTACAGAGTTAAAAAAATGGTGGCACTCTTCTTTATCTACATTCTAACCTTAACTACATAGTTCGCAGTGACCTTTTAATTTATGCCTCAAAACTTCTTGAATCTGTTTTTGTTGAAGTTATAAACCCATATAAGATTAACACAATTTTTGGCTGTATTTATCGACACCCCTCTTTAAACCCTAATGAGTTTATATTTAATTATTTAAATCCTCTTCTAGAAAAACTAAGCTATGAAAAGAAAAATATAGTACTAATGGGCGATTTCAACATAGATTTATTAAACTATAGAGAATCACAAGTTGTTTCTAATTACTTTGAATCTTTATGATTTCATTTTCTATTTCCTTTTATAATTCTTCCAAAACAGGTAACAATAAAAACCAAAACCCTTATTGATAACATTTTCATGACCTCTTTCTTTAATAACATGTCATCTGGCAATCTTACAATCTCTGACCACATGGCACAATTTGTCTGTATTTCTGGTAACCCACCCATTAAAAAAAAATTAAATCATTTAGAAGAAGTTTTAAAAACTTTGATTCCAATACTTTTATCCAAGAAATTTCTGATGTTAATTAGGAATTTCACATAAAAGAAAATGATGACATTAATGAGTCTATCAATTATTTTCTTAAAACATTTGAAAATGTGTTAGACCAACATGCTCCATATATAGAACTAACTAAAAAACAAATCTAACTTCAATCTAAACCTTGGATCACTTCTGGTATACTTAAATCTATTTCTGCTAAAAACATACTTTATAAAAAATTTACTAAATCTAAAAATGACAATACCAAAAATCTATTATTTACTCAATTTAAGTTGTACAGAAATAAAATTTGCAATTTATTAAGGTATTCTAAAAAATCTTACTATAATTTATTTTTTAACAACATCAATAATGTTAAGAATACTTGGAAAGGGATTAAAGAAATAATAAACATCAAACCTTCTACTAATATAAAGTATTTTAGTCTCAAAATCAATAAAAATGTCTGATCATTTCACTGTTGCTAATTTGTTTAATAATTATTTTTCTACTATTCAAAACAAGCTACTGAAAGAAATTGTTCCCTCTAAATGTGATTTTGTCAACTTTCTTAAAATGCCTAATACTTATTCTTTTTTCATAGAACCTGTGACTGAAAATGAGGTTACCAATCTCATAAAAGATACTCTAAAAAATAACAAAAGTCTAGGTCCCAATAGTCTTCCAACATTTCTTCTTAAACTGATTCCTCACATAATCTCAAAAGCTATGATGAATAACTCTTTTAAAAATGGTATTTTTCGCAAGGCTCGATACTAGGACCCTTACTTTTTCTCTTTTTTATCAATGATCTAAATGTTTCACTTAAGTATTCTACTGCCTACCACTTTGTGGATGACACTAATTTGCTCCTAATTAATAAATCTCTTAAAAATTCTAATAAACATATATATCACAATCTAGACAACATTGTTCAATGGCTCCACTCCAACAAATTATCCCTTAACTCTAAGAAAACAGAAATTATTATATTTAAATCTATTCAAACAAAAATAAATAAACAATTTAATTTAAAAATAAGTGGCCAGAAAATAAATCTTGTTTGTTCTATAAAAAGAACAAACAAGATTTATTTGTTGGTATCAAAATAGATTCTAATTTATCCTTTGCATCACATCTTCAAGACCTAGCATTAAAATTAGGTCAATCGAACGAAATGTTATCAAAAATCCGTCATTATGTAAATCTAGAAACTCTGCTCAATATATATCATGCTATTTTTCATACTCATATATGCTTGTCATCTCATATATGCTTGTCAAGTCTGGAGTCAATCTCATGGCCATGCTTTTTTAAGGCTAACTCATCTACAAAACAAAGCCCTACAAATAATGTATTTCCAGAATACTAATTCAAACTCTAACATACTATATTATCTTTCAAAAGTTCTTAAATTGTGTGACCTAATACAACTATCAAATTGCCTGTTTGTTTGGAACCAATGCCATAATAATTTGCCCCTTACATTTTCAAACTTTTTCAATTATAAAGAAAATTTAAAATATATCTTACGATCTTCTAGCAAATTCAAGTTATCTGTACCTAAATATTTTACTGTTCATTATGGCTATTCTCTTTTTGATTTTGTTTAAATATATATTATTAATGTGTGCATATTTGTGTGCATACATGTATGTGTGTATATATATAATATATATATATATATATATATATATATATATATATATATATATATATATATATATGTGTGTGTGTATGTGTATATGTGTGTATGTTTGCATGTGTATGTGTAAGTATGTATATGTGTGTATATATGTATTTTTGTATGTATGTGTGTGTATGTATGTGTGTGTAAGTATGTGTGTATATATATAATTATGTGTATGTGTGTTTTTTTGTATATATATATATATATATATATATATATATATATATATATATATATATATATATATATATATATATATATATATATATGTGTATGTGTATATGTGTGTATATGTATATATGTGTGTATGTAGGTATGTATGCGTGTGTATATGTATATACGTGTATATGTATATACGTGTATATGTATGTATATTTGTATGTATGTATATGTGGGCATGGGCATATATGTATGTGTGTATGTGTATAAACATGTGTGTGTATATGTATGTGTGTATGTATATATGTATGTGTATGTATATGTATATATCTATATAGGTATGTTTAAAGTATGCATGCAGGGCCGTATTTATCTATAGGCTGACTAGGCCATGGCCTAGGGCCCCCAACATTTGGGGGCCCCAAAATTTAATAAACATAATAATAAAGTTGAAAACTAAAAATAATATGTAAAAAAATCAAAAATGTTGTAAAATTTATTTTTCATTAAATTCTCATTATTCACACTGTTTTGTTTAAATAATAAAATTTTAAATAAAAAAATGAAATTTTTTTTCTTCACAAAATTAAATTATTTTAAGGGCCTCAAAAATGTTTTGGGCTAGGGCCCCCAAAAGGCTAAATCCGGCCCTGTATGTATGTATAAATGTATGTATGTATGTATGTATGCATGTATGCATGTATGTATGTATGTATGTATGTATGTATGTATGTATGTATGTATGTATGTATGTATGTATGTATGTATGTATGTATGTATGTATGTATGTGTGTATGTATGAATGTATGTATGTATGTAAGTATGTATATATGTATGTGTACACATGTGTGAATGTGTACACAAATATGTGTATGTGAATATTTTGTATATGTGTGTGTATTAATGTATGGGTACGAGTATATATATGCACGTATATGTGTATGTATATGTATGTATGTATGTATGTATGTATGTATGTATGTATGTATGTATGTATGTATGTATGTATGTATGTATGTATGTATGTATGTATGTATATATATATATATATGTATATATATATATATATATGCATGTATATAAGTATATGTGTATGTGTATGCTTGTATATGTATACATGTGTGTGTGTGTGTATGTATATGTGTATATAAGTATACATATGTGGGTGTAGGGATTTATGTATATGTGTATATTTGTGTATGCATGTATGTGTATATGTATGTATGTGTGTATGTATGTGTATGGGTATGTGTATAAATGTATGTATGTCTGTATGTATATGTGCATGTGTATGTGTGTATGTATGTGTATGTGTGTATGTATTTGTATATATGCATGTGTATGTATGTATGTATATATAGGTATTCATGTGTATGTATATGTATGTATATATATGCATGTATGTGTGCTTATGTGTGTATGTATATAGGTATATATACATGAATATATATCTTGCATTTTTTATATTTAGAATATTATTGTTATTACTTATTTATTGTTTTATTGTTATATGTTTGATAAGTAATAGTGTTGTTCCTTATTATTATTATTATTATTATTATTATTATTATTATTATTGCTATTATTATTATTATTATTATTATTATTATTATTATTATTATTATTTTATTTATACTATTATTATATACATATACATACTTTTAAATAAATACTGCTTTCACTCCCATATTATTATTAATACCAATAATTTGGTATTTACTTTTTATTATTATACTTTCAATTATAACTAATATTATTTTTATATTATTGTTGTTGTTATCGTTATTATTATTAATAATAATAATTATTGACATTATTGTTAATTTTATTATTATTATTATTGTTGTTGTTATCATGAGTTTTATTTTTGTGGTTAATTTCGTTATATAATTTTTACAATAACTATTATTCCTTTTCTTATAATTATCACTTTTTTTCTTAATTTTTATTCTTATTGTTTTATTAATTTTATAGGTGTTTACTTCATATTAGTATCATTACTATTTGTAAATATCCTTGATGTAAGACCTTTTATTCAGAATAAATTTGATTTGATATATATATATATATATATATATATATATATATATATATATATATATATATATATATATATATATATATATATATATATATATACATACATATACATTTATATATATAATATATATATGTATATGTATATATAATATATATATGTATATGTATATATATATATATATATATACATATATATACATATATATATATATATATATATATATATATATATATATATATATATATATATATATATATTATATATATATATCTATATATATCCATATATATATATATATATATATATATATATATATATATATATATATACATGGGTATATATGGATATATATATATATCCATATACATATATCCATATACATATATCCATATATATATATATATATATATATATATATATATATATATATATATATATATATATATATATATATATATATATATATATATATATATATATATATATATACATGGGTTGGCATTTGGCAATGGCGACCTATCTGCCGACCTGAAAGTATTTGAGGTTGGCAAAAAATTGCCGACCACATTTTTATGTTTTATGGTCAGACCTTTGAATCAAATTATTTTTGCCAACCTGATGCCAACCTTAAAAAGATTAAGGTCGGCAAATTATTGTCAACCTCATTTTTCCTAATTTCGAGGGTTGATATATATATGTGTATAGATTTATAGATTTTGAAAAATAAAAAAGCTATTATATTCTTAAGTATACTGAAAATGCTCGAATTTTTTTAAAATAAAATTTGAGAACAAAAAAAAGCTTGGTATTTGCCTAAAAACATGTATTGCAATCATAACCATCAAATTTACATACAAATTCTGAATATCTGACTTCAGTGCAAAAAAGGACTTTTCTAATGAAACTCAAATGTTTAAAAAAAACAACAGAAAAAAAAAAAAATTTGCATCAAGTATAAAAAAAAAAGCCTAAAGATTAAAAAGAATTTAAAACATTAATATTAAAAGTATATTCTTTCCTAACTAAAAAGATTAATATTGTTTGCTGTTGAACTGATGAATGAACTACTTTGGAGTAAAAATAAATACACTGTATGAAAAGTTATACTATACACAACATTATCAAAAGAAAAAAGAAAAAAAAAGAATTAAATTTAGTAAAACTAAGAATAAAAAATCTGAGATTTTATCACAAGCACCACATAGAATTTTTTTTTTTTTTACCTAAAAGCACAAATAGTTGAAAATACTTTTCACAACTTTAACAGTAACGGCAAAGTACTGTTAACAATAAAACAATAAGTTATTTGCATAAAAACTTAATACGCTTTCATTAAAATTAAATGCAAAAGGACTATGTGAACCACTTTGGTAATATATAACAGCCTTTCATATAATGGCATTTACAATTTTTAAAAATTCAACAAAAAAATTGCGCTTCATAGGGTTGTGGACGAATATAAAATGTACAATGATTTTTATTCTAGATTTCTATAATGAAAACAAATGTTTAAAATTATTTAAATTTTCATTACAAACAGTTTTTTATTTTCAAATGGTAAAACTATTTGATAAAAAATTTTATGATTGCAATTTTATAATAAACTCAACACTTAAATCTTAAATAGTTTAAAACAGCCACAAAAAATTAAAATGAAAACTAGTACCTGATACTACAATTTGTACAGTAAATCCTGTGTCACACAAATTTGGCTGAGTAAAACATGAATCACCATAATGGTTGCTCATCAATCTGTTGAAAGAGTTTATTTTTTGGAGATTTCTAGAATCTCCATAAAGTGTGTCGATACCTTCTGCATTTATGTATTCTACAAGTGAACCACCTTGATTAGAAATTCCACTTTTCCAAGTGTAATCAGCTGTATAAACAAGTAATCAAATATGCAGTTAATGATAATAAATTAAAAATCTTGCTTTATTGAAAAATAATAAAATACCTTTCTAAGTAAACAACCAAATACCCACTTAAAGATTTAAAATACTAATTTTAAAAACACAATACCTATAAGATAATGGCTTCCTTTCAAATTAACTGTTAGATTGTTTGTAACATCTCCAAACCACTTAAAGCAAGCCAATTTTAAATTTTTTGTACGAAAAGGAAAGAATGAGACCTCTGGTGTGACAGCAAATATCTAAAATAAATCTTTTTTTATCAAATATTTTGATGAAAAACAAACAGTATTTTTTAGTATTAATTATCAGGAAATAATTAATAATAGCAAATCTATTCAAAAATCATAACAAAAAATTTTAACATAAATACATTTTCACACATAATTCAAACAAGCATTTATCAAACAGTTTCAATAATAAAGAGTTCGCCTTAAAAGAGTTTCAAAACACTTTTGAAAAACTTTGACAGGAAATATTGCTTAAACAAAAAGCTGTGTACCTATTCTCTTCAGATTTTGCCAGTTCTCTTTCATATGCACCACTTAAATGCTTATTAAAAAGTCAAAATACAAACACTTTAAAATAATCAGAATAATTATATTAGTTCATACAATTCATTGAAATTTTAGTAATAGTACTTTTTTAGGCTTGAAAAAACTTTTTGAAACTCCCAATATTAGAATAGGTTATTACATAATGGCAGCCAGTTCCCAAAAATTGAAAAAAAAGTGCTTCATAGGGCAGGGTACCAAAATTATACCAACAAAAACTACTTTTATTTTAGATTTCAGAAATTCAAACAAGCTTAAACAGAAATGTTAGCAAACTAAAGAATAATTTTTTTTTTTGTTTATTGCAAAATACAAAAGTACAAAATTTTTTATTACCTTAAAAATATAGTTTAGAGAAAGAAAAAAAATCAGCTTGTTTAATCACAAATACAATCTCAATTTAATTATTATTGAAAAATGAGAAAAAAGAATTTTTTACTCTCAAATTATAGTTAACTAACTTAAATGATTCAAATATACACAGATATATAGATATTAAATGTTTATGAAACACTTTTAAGTGTTAGTTGTTATTTATTTCTATTCACTAGTGTTATTAAATATCAAATATATTTATTAGGTATCTTCATAAAAACAAACTTTAGAGTGTAAAGTGCTAGAAGGTTTTATCCTAGGCCCCAAACAGGAGTTTGGGGTTCTAGAATAATAACTTCTAGCATCAGTTCAGTTATTATTTTAGTTTGGTATATTTTGGGGCATCCTAGGCCCAAAAATATATCTAACTAAAGTAATAACTTTCATAGGACCTTTGTCTTTTAAGTAACACACTGCACAAAAAGTTCATTAGATTAGTGTATTGAAATAATAGTTTAAAGAAAAAGGTGTCCTTTGCTCATTTGATTCAATTGTCCCGCTAACATTTTAGAGTCAAATAATAATAAAAAAGATTACCAAATTCTTCTACTGAGTATTTTTAGAGTGTTCAATCCTTTTTATAAAAGAACAAAAAAACAATTTTACAATAGTGCGCAACATAGCAGGTAATGGCTAAAAACTCAGACAGTTAAAAATCTTGTCCTATTCACTTACTACAATATGAAACCCACTAATTAAATCTTCTTTATCATCATTAGTCGTATTTGTATCTTCCTCAGTGCTTGTATCTTCATCATTGATAATTTCCCTGCTATTCTTGACGTTGCAGATTTCTTTCAAGCTCTTCTTGGCAGAAGTTTAATGTTTTTTGTACAATCATTTTACCCACTTAACTCAATCTTACAAGTTGAACGCCATGCACAATTCTAAACTCTTTATCACAATTGCTTAAATGACTTTCTGCATTTTGTACTGCATATAATTAGTAATACACTCAATCTATTATTCATAGTTCAGCATTAACTGTACCAACAATTTTTGAACTCAATGCATTTTTTAGCAGGCATTGAACCAATAACTCTAGATAATTCAAGGCTCCAAAATTTATCCTCAATGTAAACAATAACATTTAAATATCTGCAATTTTTAACTGTTCACTCGTGAAATGTGGAACTGAATCATATTCCTTGCATTCGGAGATGATTGACCTAATCACTGTCTCTTTAATTGTGTTTTCATATTTAACTATAATGTTTCAAACTGTTGTCACTTATTTTGGAACAATAAATTCATGAGCCTCCAGCAATGTTTGCAGTTCAGTTGACATGATAAAAATATACCAAAAGAAAGTCTGTAAAATTTCAGAAAAAACTGATGGCAATGACTTAACCATGTTGATTTTGGAATAAATCAGTAGTCAAAGATTTTTGCATTGGTAAGTTACATCATAAATTATGCTTTATAAACTATTATCTAAGGTAATGAAGACATAATTAAAAATATCAACAATGTTTAAAACTGGTGTTTAAAAATACAAGTGTCTTAATTTGCAACACTTGCCTTTTAAAAACATTTAGTTATAAATAGTTAGGAAAAAATAAATTTAGACAGGAACAATTGTAATTGGTCACAAATTTTGCAATTTAAAGTCCAGCATAATCAGTCTATCTACTATAGTGTATATAGATATACATTTAGCAATCTTTTTTGGTTACATTATTTGATATGCCTTTTTTAGAAAAAGGAGAAAAAAATAAAGAATAAAAAAAGAAAATTGCTGCCTCAAACCCTTTGTCAATTATACCTTTACTCCTCGCATGTTTTAACTATAAAGTTTATTATTTTAAATTCGACACAGAAAAATATGCGAGTATTGGTAAAAATCTGTGCAAAACCGCCTAGTTTTATGTCATTTTAGAGTAGTATGAACTGTAAGCTTCTCTTAAAACTAAATACTTTCAAAAGTTTGAATATCAGATATTTGAATTTATTTGAAATTTTGTTTATTTAAAGTGATTTTTTGTTCCCTCAGACAATAAATGTTGATTGAAGTTTATTTGAAAACTTTACCTTATTGTTTAAAACAAAGAAAGTTAAAAGGAACTATGATTTTATTTATTTTACAATTTACAAATCGGTAATATATTTATCCATTTATATTCATCGTAGAAAAAAAATTCTTATACTTTTATTGTCTTACAAGTTTATAGCCTTTCCTGTAATTTTAACAAGACAAATCTTCAAAGAACCAGTTCTTAAAAAGTATAAAATGTTTTTCCATACTTTACACTATTCCTTTTTGATAAATGCTTAACAGCATTGTTCTCATCATCAACAATAACCGCTGCATACTAACTTACTTTTTTCTGTGGCTCCATTCATATTTTTAAAAGTCCTCGAATGACAGGTTACCATTTTTTTCAATACACATGAAATTGAATTGAAAAAAATGGTAACCTGTCAAAAAACACAAGTTGCAAGTATGTAAAGATTAAAAAACGACTACTGAACCGCATATTTTAGAGGTTTGATAAACACTCTTTAGAAACATAAAAACAACCAAAAATGAACAATTTTATAAAGTTAAAGTTAGTGTATTATGTGGAAAATAAACTTAAATTTAGCTTGTTAACTGTAGTTTATGTGTACATTTTAATATAAAAATTTTTTATAAAAGATTATTGGATATAGAATGGAATGTTACCATTTTTTTTTTAATATTATCAAGGCCACATGGGTAAGCATCTAAATCATGTATGTAAAATAAATAAATAAATAAATAAGCATCTAAATCATGTATGTAAAATAAATAAATAAATAAGCATCTAAATCATGAATGTAAAATAAATAATTAAATAAGCATCTAAATCATGTATGTAAAAAGTTGCATAAAAATTATTTAAAATGATAATGAGGGGTATTTTTAATAATATATTTACAAATGATCAGAAATTACATAACAGCTAATGCTTCTAATCAATTTGTTACATTCCTTAAACAAGAAAATAGCAAATTTTACAAATTTTAAGTAAAAAGAATATATATTTTTTTAACTATCTGACTTGAAAGTTTAAAATAAATGTTACAACATCTGAGGCATGTGGTAGCATCTTTTTTTTTTCTTGTTAATTTGACATGGAATTGCCCAGTTTTAATTTTTATTTACTAATAAAACATTATGCATTTAACAATTAAATATTATGAGAAATTTTTTAAGTTACCTTGTTTCTTATGGTTTCTTATAAGTTGACAATAATTAAATATAATAATATAAACAAAATAGTATAATTATAAACTTAGTTTTTTTAAAATAACAACTAAATTGGTGTTCAGAAATATAATATTACTTACAATATCATCAGTAAACAGAATGTTATCCCTATAAGGAACATATTCACTATTAAGATCGTAGTAAACACAAAATTTTTTAAGCCAATTAATGTTATTAAATGCAATTCCAGTAATCAACATTGTTTCATTTAACTTAATTAAAAACCAATCAGTTTCTGCAAAAATGAATGATCCAATAATTGGCTTTTCTGAAAAATTAAAATAAAGCATTTTTTACTAACTAATCACCATTTTGAAAAAACAAATTTAATTGAATTTTAATTATGATACTTACTAAACTTGTATTGAACCGCCTCAACAAATCTAAAGTTGAACTGAAGTAAAGCCCCAGACTGTACATACACAAGAATTTCCGATGCTTTAAAAGTGTGCATCAAATTATAACTACACCATTGTGTATTCAAATCACTTGTAAAAACCTAAATTAAAAAAATAAATATAGCGCTAACAAACAAATTTCTTAAATATCAAATAAAGTTTTAAAATGAAAAAAACTTTATTACTTTAGTGACATTATTTTCTTTGTAGGAAATATAATCTCTATCGTCATTTAAACGAAAAAACAACAAGACATTCTGAATAATGCTTGAGTCTGTGCTTGCTATAATAAATTGATGAACCAACTGAACTCGATCCAATTTAACGGAAAACCATGCAACAACTGAACTTTCAAACCCTAGGGTTGTTGATATTAGAGATGTCATACTGGGACTTGAGAGATTCATTACCATATTTTTAATTTGATCCAAACTATAAATTGAACTACTTGAGAAAAAAGCCTCAGAAATTTCATACTCATTCAAGTTTGGGTTATCAAAATAATCTAAAACATTTCAGTTATTTAAAAATTTATGATTTATTCATATATAATTTCAAAAATTTAAAAATAATTTCAAAAATCAAGCAAGTAAATTCTATCATATATCTATCAATAAATAACGTTTTATTTCAAGAAAGATTAGTTCTTAAAAAGCTCAAAGAAATGAAAGGTATTGTGATTAAAAAAGCAGCTGTTTAATTGTGATAGATTTTGTTACAGCAATAAATTGTAAATAAAGAAGATAGATAATCAATAAAGATTATCTATCTTCTTTAACCGTGCATGAAAAAAAACTCAACCATAGTTAAGTAGTTTTCAAAATTCTTTTAAAAATGATTGACAAGCATTTATGTCTTACTCAAAACAAGACAAATTAAATTCAAAATTTCAAAGTAAATCAGGCAATAAAGCAATTTTTATATAATTTTTAAAACTCATATATGTAAGGAAACCATTAAACAGTCTAAGAGTCTAGTTCCCTACATATTGAAATGAAACTACTAAATGATCTTAAAGGTTGACCATTTTTAAAGAAATTGACTCACTGAAGTCACATTTAAGTCATTTACTTTAATTCTACACTTAATTTTATCTCCTACTGTGTTTACAATGCAAAAAATAAACACAAGTGCAAGCCCAAATAAGACAACATTCCATAGAAGAAATAATAACATTTTAAAAATATAGAATCAAGTGAAAAAAGAATAAAGAGATAATAAAGAATAATAAAGAGCACAAAAAAGATGACTTTAGTAGATATATCAGATCTTGCAAGGAATATATAATATAGTTTTTATGAGCATCACAACAAATTACTGCTTATTTATTAATACACCAGAAAGTAAACCATTTTCTTTTTTGCTGAAGCTACATTCTGTTTTATTACTATTAATAAAGTTTTATTACTATTAAAATTTGTTTTATAATGTAGTATAAGCCAAGTACATAGCGAAAATGTTCCCAATTATAAACAACAAAATTTAACTTAAAAATAAGTAACTGACACCGCTTTACTCAAGCAAGTTAATTCTCTAGCATACATTTTTTTGTAAAAAAAAAAAAGTCCTTGTAAGCAAATTTTAGCAAAAGAGAAAAGTACATGCATCCACTGAAAAGTGCATACACCCACTGGCAAATAAATGAACTTGCAAAGAAGTGCTACTTCATTGTCTATAAGTTTGGGTTAGGGCAGGGTTGAGATTAGGATTCGGGTTCAGAAGCCATATATAATATAGGATTCAAATATAATATATAAGGATATACAAATATAAAGATTTTGAGTTAATTCTATTTCCACATTTTATAAACTGAAATCAATTATATATTTGAATATTAGACCAATGAAAACCTACTGATGCGCAACTATAAGTACTGAAATTAAATTTACTCAAATCAGGTTTTGTAGATGGGCTCCTCATATAATAATTAAATAAAAATAACAAAAATAAATCTAAAAATTCAAATTTAAAAATGTACAAATAAAAACAAATAAAAATAAAAATAGAAAATGTGAAAAATACAATTGAAAATAAAGTAAAAAAAAATGCAACTTTTTTCTTTGTCTCAAAAAAATAGGAAATAGTAGAAACAACTTCTTTGGTTTAGAGTTGTGTAAAAGTTGGGTAAAATCTTTATTAAACCCTATTAATCTAGTGCTTTCACAGATCATTTAAACCTAGTTTTAAATGGAGTATAGTGGTCATTTAATTGATTTTTTATTGGCTACTTTTACTGATAGTCTCAAGTTTAGCTCTGCAGTCCATAAACAAAGGAAACCTAAGCAACTTAACTATAACAGTAAGTTTGAAATTTCAACTTTATTTTTATTTTTAACATTTTACATTTTTTTGTTTTTGGTCACAAAAACATTCAAACACCTGAAATCCAATCAATAAAAACATGACAAATACTTAAAATTTTCACAACAAAAGTATGATAAAATAATATATACAAATCCTAATAAAAAAACAATATGTAATAATAACTAAAAAAAAAAAACTAACCCGGTTTTCTAAATACAAAAGCATAAACAGCAATGTAAGCTATTGACATGGTATCATATGCATTCAATACCAAAAATTTTGCATTCATGCCACTAAATGTAATGTTATAATAGCATAAATAGCTTTTATACAAAGAATTATATTTTGAAACTCCATTTTGAGTACCATATCCATTCAAATTGTTTAACCCATCAGAACTTTGTAAGTAAACTTGATAATTCTTTTGACAGACATTTGAACCCTGAGAACTTGAATAAGAAAAAACAGCTGCTTGAGTAATAAAGTATTCCTCTGAAAAACTCAAAATAATTATACTCCCCCAGTTCAAATTTGTGTTTTTTAGAGCACCAGGTCTTATATCATCGTCTGTTTTAGTGCTAAACACAATTACTGGTGTAAGATCTAAAATATAAAATAAAATACTGTAAAAATAATTATAACATCAACAAAATAATTATATGTTAGGCATAATGTAACTCATTTTATTTTAAGTAAACCATGTAACACCATAAAATATCGCTCAGTACTTAATTTAAATTTTTAATAGTGCTGCAATTTTATCATCTATTAATGATGCATATATATTGATATTTAAATAAAAAGGTTCATATTCAAAGTCAAATTTCTATTTTAAACAAATATACAGTAATGAAATAGTTGTACAAACATATATACAAACATACATACATACATACATATACATACATACATACATACATACATACATACATACATACATACATACATACATACATACATACATACATACATACATACATACATACATACATACATACATACATACATACATATATACATACATACATACATACATTTACATTTAAACTTTTTTGTTAAAATGTTTAAATTTATACTTATGTATGTTTATAATAATGTATATAAAGGGAGAAAGTTTGAAAATCTAAAAACAAAGTCTAACTTAAAATTTTTTTTTATTACTTGATCTGTTTACAACAAAAGTGTGAAATACTTTTAGCTGAATAAACATTAAAGATAAGAAAATGAAAGTTAATAATAAATTTAAAACAATAATGATTTATATTAAAATAATATTAATCATTATTGTACTACAATAATATTAATTTTTTGATATACTAGCAGATCACTAGCTTTATGAGCATAAAGTTTAGAGTTTGATTCCCACCATGTCCTTGGTTGTGCCACGCTCAATTTTCCACACAGCTACCTTTTTCATTGAGGCTAGTATTTTGAAGCTAAAGCAAATCCTTAACTGTAGCCCTTCACATTTAGGTAGGTGAATATATTTAAAAAAATGCATATGTATTTATATACATTGGTATGCTATCAATCTTTAAGATTTATATTAGAATTACACTTAATAACTGCTTTCTTTTTAAACACAAATATCTTAGAAATTTTTTAAAAACACTTTCTCTTCCCCAAAACTTAAGTATACTTGAAAAGTAGAGTTTTTTTTTGTTATTGTTATTACTTTTTAGTTCTTTAATTTTAAAACAATAACCTTGACAAACAAGGCTCACTCTTAGCAAAAATAGGAGATAACTGTCCAGTCCGCACCCTAGAAAACTGCAACATTCCTGTGAAAGCTTATGACCATGGGATTCCAAAAATGTAAAAATTAAAATCATCTGCCTACATCCTGAAAGAAAATCAATTTTGAAATTTTCCATTATTATTATTATTTGTAAAATGACAGCATTTCTATTTTTTTCATTTTTACAGCATTCTTTAAACAAAAGTACATACAATAAATAAATAAAATTATTCTAAAGGGATAAAAAGGTACATTCTGTTCTCACATAAAGATTTCTTATGTAAGGTCAACATAATTTATTCATAAATCTCCAATTCTATTTATTTTGTGCTCAGTGTTTTCTTCAAAGATTCTTGCTGTTAAAATCAACAAGGCACATCACAACCCTTTTTTCATATTCTGGATGACTGATTGGGTGTTTGTACCTTGCCCAATTTGTACTAAAGCAATGGTGCATTGCTTCTGTTGTTTGTTCGCTATAAATACCAAGTGGCATCTTTTTCCTCAGGATAAATTCCTTTATATGGAAAAACACAGCATGTGTTTTTGGTGTGACAGTTCCAATTGGCAATGCAAAGAAAGAAGCTCGAAACTCATCAATTTTTTCTTCAAACTGACTGTGTAACTTGTTGCCAAAACAGGATACAACATTTTCAAATTTTCGAAAAGTTTCAATGATGGGAAAAACTTGAAAAGCATTGTATTTTTCAGCCAATATTTGCAAAAGATCCAAGTTCTTCAGCAACTTATTGCAGGAATTTCCTTCAAATTGTCCACCATGAAAGGGTTGATATTTTATATGCAATGCTTGAAGCCATTCATCTGCCTTTGGCCATAAATTTTTCAGAATCTTAAAAAGATGATTGACAACTCCAAGAAGTAGATGCAACTCCATTGGAGGTATTAGATCAATTACCAATGCAGAATCTTCGAGTGAAAGAACAGACTCATGAACCAAGTTTCTGAATTTCTTTGCATTTTTGGTATTTGAACCTGCTGCAGAAAACGCATGGAATGACTGCTTCAGAGAGCCAAAAGTTCTTAGAGTACCACAATTCACAAGATTAGAACTTTCCGCTGTGCACCATGTACATGGATGAGAGGATGAATGAGCCTGCAGACCGCATAGGATGTTAGCCAATTTCATGTCACAAGAGATAACAAAATTGACCTCTTGAATGTCAAGAAGAGAAAGAATGACTTTCACATTGTTGTAATTTTCTTGACCTCCTTCAGTCACAGCCACAAGAAGTTGTTTTTTCACTCCTGTATCCTTTGATGCTTGTGATGTAAGCAAACGTTTGCTTGGAGGTGAAGCTTCACTTTGCATCTCTGGGTCCAATTCACAAACTCCAAGACAGACTTTTAAGAATCCTCAACCGCCATTGATCCCCAATTTAATGACGTGGTTTGAAAAAATCTTCCGTGTCAAAAGTAAATCTTCAATAAGACTATTGAGACTCTTGCAATATGCAACAATGTAATTTGAAGTTGTTTTGTCCGCGTTTGTAAATGCCGCTGTAATCTGAGTAAAGCTCTCTTTAAGATTTTTCCCAAGGTTTTGAAATTTTTTAACAATGTATGGCTCCAAGACTTTGGTTGTGCTTACATTGTTGATTGTTGTTGCAAGCTTTCTGATGCCATTATTGGACAATCCTGTGTTTATTTGAACCTGAGCAAGATCTTGCGCTGTTACAACTGGGTGATCCTTTAATAGCTGTTTTGCACTTGATGGTCCTAAAACATGTGAAAATTAACTTTACAGCAAATATTTTACCAAAATACTTAAATGATGTTACCATATGTTTACCTGGAGTTATAGGAAATTCTCTCCCACTCTTGGTTTGTGAAAGTCGAACTGTTCCATGTGGAGATGCATCCTTGCTTGTGATTGTTGAAGATGCAATCTGTTCCGCAACTTTACCATCATTGGCTGCCAGAGATCTTATATTCTCTCTAAACTGTGATACAGAGAATTGATGTGGCAATCTCCTACCTATTAGTGACAGACATTTTGAGCACCTTTTGTTAGAAATCTTTTCTTCTTTCGTGTCAGTGTCAAGAGGGTGCTTTTCAGTCAATTTCAACCAGCCAATGCAACAAATTAGGCATTCACAAGGATTTCCTCTAGTGAGTGGTTTGACAATGATAGTTTCAAAGTCAAAAAGAGCTGGTAATTCACCAGGATGTCCTTCATAACGTTTCCTCAGAGCAGTTCGACTAGTTTTACACAGCCCTTGCGGTACTCTTACATCTTCAAAATTGATTTGTTGTCTGTAGACTTGTTGAATTTTTTCATGCAAAAACGTTGTGAGCTGTCTGTTTGCCTTTTTGAGACACAGGAGGCAAACAACTTTCCTGTTTTCATCATGATTCCTAGCTGAATTGGGCATTTTTTCGTTTTTTTCTTAAGAGACTCAAAAATGCAACCTTCACAGATTTAGTTTCTTTGAAAAAGTGCCTTTTCCTCAAATTTGTCAATTTAAAATTAAAAAAATTATATTGCAAAAATCTATATTTTACCTTTGTTAGAAGTTTTTTAAATTTAATAAAAGCTATAAAAATGCAAAAAATAGAAATGCTGTCATTTCACATAAATGTGTAATAAGGGAAAGTTTCATTATTTTATTTTCTTTCACGGACGTAGGCAGATAATTTGCATGTTTACATTTTTGGAATCCCATGGTCATAAGCTTTCACAGGAATATTGCGGTTTTCTCGGGTGCGGACGAGACAGTTATCGCCTATTTTTGCTGAGTGGGCTGCTGCAAAAAGAAACAATTTTTTTTTTCTACTAATTACAATATTTAAAATAGTTTCTCTATCTATTCATCTAATTTTAGTGTTTCATCCTGTTCGAAGCGCATAAATTTTTAAAATTACACTCTTAGTCAGCAACATATTTTTTAAAAATAAGTTTTTTTATATGTTGTTGGATCACAGGAATATGTAGTTTGATCATAACTTAAATAAGCTCATATAATTTATATACAAGAAGCACAGGTTTTACTTCATTCGTTTTGACAAAAAAGTTTCAACAAACTTAGTAACAATAAGTTATTATTAAAGAATACACCAACATTCACCCTAGCAGTCACTGAAAACTATAAACTCAATAGCAACAAGTAGGGTTAACTCAATGACAAAAAGTAATACATATTTACCTAAACCCCACAATATAAGTAATTCAACATTAAAAAAATAATTAAAAAGCTACCCATTTGATAATAATCTGCATTTGTAAACCACACCCAAGTAAAGAATAACACAACCTAAAATAAAAAAACATATAATTAAACAGCAAACACAAGGTGCTATGATTATTAGACAAAAACTCATGAGAGTATTAAACAATATTATTATTATAACATTAATAAATAATGATAACATCAATTAAGTAATAAAAATAAATAATAACAATAGAGTAATAATAACAGAGTAAGTGCTAAATATTATCTTTTAAACTTAAATATTTTTTAATTATTAAGTAATTTTGAAAAAAAATGTTGTTTTTTTTTAATTTAAAAGTTAATTCAAAAGTAAAATATGAAAACATTTAATACCTTAAAACAATTAGAAAATAAAAATTTAATAAAAGAAAACCAACTTTTTTATTATTTAACTTTAACTACTCATAAGCATTGTAATTACTTTAGTAAATGTTTTGCTCATTTAATAAACTTTAGCTTTAATTAATTGCTGAGAATCAACTTAAGGAGAGAAACATAAGCTGAGAATCAACTTAAGGAGAGAGAATAATTTTTAGAAATCATGCATATTAAACAGTTTAGTTGCAATTAGTCTTAAGAAACTAATTTTAAGCAATACTTTCTGGAGACAAAAATCTGAATCTTTGTTAGGCGACTTATAAGACTTGAAATTTTTTTTTTTAATTAGATAGAAAAACAGTTTTTTTAGATAAACTAATTCAGACAGAACTTAAAAAGACAATAATAAATAGTTCTACTTTTCCTGTGTCAAAAAGTTCCCTGGTCAAAAATACAAATCCTTTTGTCTATGGGATATATTTAAACTAATACATCCCCAAATATTTAAAACTATTTAAAACTGTTAAAACTATGTTAAAATTATTCAAAATACATAAACTGAAAACACTATTTTATACTTTATTTTGCCTCCCTAACTTTGTCTCACCTTAATGAGAAAACATTTTTTTAATTGATCAACTCAAACTGTTTTACACTTTATCTAGACATGTTAATTAAAAACACAGAAAAAAATGCAAAAAAAAAGTCAAACAATAGAAAAAAACAAAACACTGTAAAGTACAATTTAAAAAATTTTAAAAATTAATCAGATTAAGCCTGAAAAGGCAAACAACTTTTTTTGGTGATACAACTTCTGTTATCAAGTTTTTGCAGCCAGCAAATATGTACCTAACCATTCTAAATCTGCATTAATCACTTCTAACCTAACCATTCTAAATCTGCATTAATCACTTCTAACCTAACCATTCTAAATCTGCATTAATCACTTCTAACCTAACCATTCTAAATCTGCATTATTCACTTCTAACCTAACCATTCTAAATCTGCATTAATCACTTCTAACCTAACCATTCTAAATCTGCATTAATCACTTCTAACCTAACCATTCTAAATCTGCATTAATCACTTCTAACCTAACCATTCTAAATCTGCATTAATCACTTCTAACCTAACCATTCTAAATCTGCATTAATCACTTCTAAACTAACCATTTTAAATCTGCATTAATCACTTTTAACCTAACCATTCTAAATCTGCATTAATCAATGAAACTAAGATTATTTATCACTATGATCAAATCCAGTATAAATAAACTGTTTAACACTTATTCAAAAACTTATTTAAAACATCAGCAACTTGATTGGTACTTTTATTAAAATTGTTAATGGCTAAATTGACTGATATTTAATTGCTAATGGCAAATTAAACTAGGTTTATTTGTTTTTAGTCTAGTTATGTAGTTAAACTGCCATTTAAACCTGTTATAGTTCTCAGGCAAAATTAATGACCAATTCTCATGTTTTAAATTTTAGAATTATGAAAAAGCACTGCCCATAAAGCCTTTTTTATTAGTTATTCTTTTTTATTAGTCAGAATTTTGGTATATACTAAATTCTATTTTACATTAATTTCAAAGTAAAATTGTAAAATAATATCTTTGTATTTTTCAACCTGCTGACAATAATTGCACCAGTGTCTTCTATAGCACAGATAATCATCAATGATTAGCATAGCATTTATGGTTTGCTTTACAATCCATGTATACTGGTTTCTTTTCACTTTTCCAAAAACCACGTCTTTACATTTTACAAAAATTAATGTTACTGTAACTACATTACTTAAAAAACCTTTTTTTAATAATATTTATTTTTTAAAATGCTGAAACAGTGAGTGCATTTATCTCTCAGTTTAAAAGTCTATGAAAATTTTGAAACAGGTCTGGAAGTTTTAAATGAGTGATACCGGTAAAACAAAGTATAACAAAGTTCCTAAATCAAACAAAGTCACATTTTTTTATAAAAAGACTGTATGAAATCTATAGAAAATCAATTAGAACATTTCATAACTTTATGAATCATTGAATGAAACACTAAAACTTCATTATAAAGTTAAAATTTTTTATTATAAGTTCTGTTTTTTGTTTTTGTTTTTGTTTTTGGGGGGTTTTTTTTGCACTATTTTTTACTTAACCTAATTAGAGGAAATTCACACCTAATCCTTGTACAAGAATAGCCAGTTAATTATTAGCTAAATTAGAAAAAAAAATTCAATTAAAACACTTTTAATTGAATTTTTGAAACACATTGAAAATGTTATTTTATGTTGCATTTTCTTTATTTCTTCTAGTAAAGAATCTGAATATCTTTAGGTTTGTAATTTAAGAGAACCCAAGTCTTTTTAGGTAAACGCAATTCTCTATTATTAAAGTCTTTTTATTAAAACTATTTGTCAAATAAACAACTTAACGAAATTTTTTTATTACTACAATTATTATTTAACTTCAGGAAGTTATAATGTAAAACTTCTATATAAAACCTATTTGAACTTATAACTTATTTATTGCATCTTTGTTTATTTGTTATTTTGCTTTGCTAAGGACGTTGCCATGGAACTTTTTTATCAATTAGTCCAAAATCAAAGTAACTTGGGATGCAACTTTTTGTATAACTTACTGTTCAGAAAAATAATTGCTTATTAAATGAGCTCAATATAAAAAAATTATATTTGTTGAAAATTTTCAGAAAATAAATGACCATTTAAAAATTTTATAAGGTTGTACACTAAGTTAAGAAAATTTTGCTTAATCAGATAATTTTGTTATAAAAATCATTTTAATTTTCAAAACATACTTTAATTTAATTTATTGGTTTTTTTTGAACTATGTTTTAATTAAAAATATAAAAAATAGAGAAAAAATTTAAAGATTAATTATTGTGATCAACGCAAGGGCGGATCCAGCATTTTTTGGTCTTTGAGATAGCTAACTTCCAGACATAGAGCTAACTCCAAACATCGATATGTTTATACATAAACATATAAATGTTTGGAGTTAACTCTATGTTATCATTATTTTATGTCAAATAAGGATGCTTTACAAAAAATTGCGATGATTGGAGGCTGCGAACAAAAAAGCCCCAAAAAGCAACAAGTTAATGAAATATTTTTTGTACTATTTTTAATTAGACTTATATTCATCAATAGTTTTAAAGTTTCATAGTATTATCTCTTGGCGTTCAAAAATTATGATCATATAAAGTTTGCAACCCCCTCAAATTGAGGGAGGTCTAAACTTTATATAGTCATAATTTTTGAACGCTAAAATATTTTACTATGAAATTTATTGATAAATATAAGTCTAGTTGAGAATAGTATAAAAAATATTTCGTCAACTTGTTGCTCTCATGTTTGGAGCAAGGGGGCAAATATTTTTAGTTTTTTTTGTTCCCAGCCTCCAATCATCGCAATTTTTAGCAAAGCATCTTTACTGGTCGGTGCGCCCTTTAATTTAATTTTAAAAATGTATATCTAAATTCTAGAAAAAAAAAAAAATATTTAGGCTTTTATTTAGTTGCCTACGATTTTTTTAATTCCAGCTTTGATCTCACTAAATTTAAAAAGTGTTTCAGTTCACCTAATTCAGCGGCGTAGTTAGGAAATGCAAAGCCCTAAAACAAAATTATCTACGGGTCCCTTTATATTAAATATAAACTCTGGTAACTTTAAAAATGTATATCTAAGTTCTATAAAAAAATATATTTTTTTAGGCTTTTATTTGGTTGCCTAAGTTTTTTTAATTCCAGCTTTGATCCCACTAAATTTAAAATGTGTTTCAGTTTACCTAATTCAGCGGCTATTAAAATGCTATAAAAAGTTAAGTTAAGCTTACTTTACATTACACACGATTATCATGTCGTGTCAATCAATAGTTTTGTCAGCAAGCCTCAAACATAATATCAAGAGTTTTGTGACGTGAAACATATTTAGTGGGTGTTTATTTCATTTTAAAATATTAGGAATGCAACATAAGAAAGCAGTTTATGCATTTTTAATATTTTAACGTGATCAAGCTCTAATAAAATAGCTTGCTATTAAATATACTT